TGTAGGTGTAAAATTAAAATTCATATATTTAAAAACTACATCAAAAGTTTACAAAACAAGAGGTGATAATATTTTATTATTTTATTGAATAACTAATGAAAATATGTAAAAGAGAATAATTAAAGTTTAACCGTGTAAATAATTATTGGGAAGAACATTTTAGACCCATAAATTTAGTAATGTTTTTTAAGTGCTCACCTTCCACCACCCGGAATCGAACGAGTGAGGAACCCCAATTTCTCTCCTTCCTAATTCCAAAATTTCAGCCCAGAAACGGATAGTCATCGGAAGTAAACGATTTCAACCCGAGTCCTTCCGGCGGCCACCGCCAGATCCGCCGTCCCGTCCACCCAATCGATTCAGCACCAAGGGAAAGACACAGAAGATTCTTCATCAAAAAGCGAGAAGACGACGACGAAGAAGAGAATCGGATGATATGTTGTTGAGAGCGGCGTGGAAATGGTACCAGAATTGCTTGACCGCGCATCCGGTGAAGACGCAGGTGATCAGCTCCGGCTTGATTTGGGGCTTCGGCGACATTTCTGCTCAGTCCGTCACTCACTACACATCCAGGGCTCGCCACTATCTCTCCTCTGTAAGTCATCCGATTGGTCTTCAATTCTTCGTAACACTGAGATTAGGGTTAATCTCTGTTCAGAAAATAGGGTTTATGATATGTGTTTCTTGATTGTTAATTATTGGAAGCTTTTTATGCTTATGCACTGCAAATTTCTTATGATTCATTACAATGTGTGTAAACCTAGCTGGAATAACTTTGTCTGCTTGATAGAAGTGAAGACGATAAACGGCTCATTGTCAGTAACTGAGTATTACTTTGAGTAATTTTTTTGGTTATTCACTCTTTTCGAATGGAGAACTTGTTCTTAGGGCTTAAAGATTAGTCGTGTTAGGCCAAAATCGACATAGATTATGAAGGTGTAAAAAGGTACATTCGAGTGTTTCAGCATTGTTAACACTTAGGCACTTCAAGATAGATGGCCGGAAAGGGGACGAAGATGAAACGTCATATACAAACATCCAATTTAACTAAACATGCAATTCTTCTCTACTTCATAGCCTAAGACTATTAAATGGACATAAACTAGTGAAGCAAAAACCACTTCCGGACTCATTTTATTCTTTAACTTGTATCTTATATGATGAGTGTGTCAATATTTCGAGTCTTCAACCTCATTGCTTATTCAATAGTCTAAATTGTGCAAACTTTAGGATGAAAAGGAAGAATTTAAGATAAATTGGAGAAGAGTTGCCACCACAAGCTTGTTTGGCCTTGCATTTGTTGGACCGATTGGCCACTTCTGGTAACTCCTCTATCTATTTCTCTCATTTTTGAAGATCCTATATATAACACGAGTAATTGCTTGTTCCACAAAGAACTTGGGTTGGGCAAAAAAACAACGTATTGTTATTAATATTATTTGTCAAACGAAAATCTTAGTTTACTGATAATGTGTTTTCATTTCATTTCTCGAATAATGGTGTGTGTGTGTGTGTGTAAGATGTCAATACTAATGTGAAGTGAATTCACTACTGAAGCTCAAAACTCAAATAAGAGGTTAGTTCTTTTCACACCAAGGGCCAGTGTTATATCATGACACCGAACCAATTGAGGACCCTTCATTGCTCCGTTTGACCCGAAGCTGTTCTTACCCTACAATTTTACAAATCCCCAAACCCACACCTTTTGGGAGACTATCCACTAAGGGGAGGGGGGGGGGGTTAGGAACTACTTCTCTGTTGAATGGAACACCGTAGGACCCTCGGATGGACCTGATTTCATATAATGACGCTGGCGTTGGGTGTCAAAAGAACCCTAGTGCTCAAATAATACACTCCATTGAGTTGAATTGCAAGTTATCTCATCTTCCAAATTCCAATTGAACAACAGGTATGAAGGGTTGGACCGATTTCTCCGGTTCCGGCTTCAGTACCAGCCAAAATCACTGAAATTTGTTGCCACAAAAGTAGCACTAGACGGAATCATCTTCGGGCCGTTGGATCTGTTCGTGTTCTTCAGCTACATGGGCTTCGCGAGTGGAAAAACCGGGGCCCAAGTAAAGGAAGACGTGAAGCGGGACTTCCTCCCTGCCTTGATCTTGGAGGGAGGAATATGGCCAATCGTCCAAGTGGCCAACTTCCGGTTCGTTCCTGTGAGATACCAACTCTTGTATGTCAACTTCTTCTGCTTGCTGGATAGCTGCTTCCTCTCATGGATTGAGCAGCAGCAGGATGCTGCTTGGAAACAGTGGTTCACTTCCTTTCTGCAATCTAAGGAACACAAACAAGAACAAGAAGAAGAAGGCCACAATTTGTGATCAAAGGGCCTTAAGGTTTCAGATAAGAACCACATTTTTTATTACTATACCTATCTCATTCTAATACCATTTGCTCTCAAACTTTGTAGTGTTTTTCTTCTTCTTCTTCTTCTTCTTCTTTTCCACTTATCAATATCTCACAAGGCCAAATATTCCATTATCATGAGATTCCAATTAAGAGATTGTTCAACTGCGTTATCAAATTGCTCGTTTATGCTTATTAGGTTTTGATATGAAAATTAAGTTTGATTTTCAATTTCAAAAACTTAAACCACATAGCAATGTTCTATACGCATAGTGGTTCATAAGTAATGATGGCCTAATTGAAGCTATAAGCTTAGGATCTTTAGAAATTAGAACACCACTTGGTTCTAATTTATAGCCAACTAACTTAGTTCTTGTTAAACAACGTAGATGTGGATTTTTTAATGCACCAAAGGACTGTTTGTTTGAATAAAATGAAGAAAATGCCGAGAATTCATCTTGTTTCACCTTTTTAAATCAAATTGAACAAATCTGTATAAAAAATTATATAAAATACAAAAGTGATTTAATTAGATTTATCTTGCAAAAAAAAAAACTCTCAAAAATGATTTTAATTGTACTCTCTCAGTCTGTTTTATTCTTCTCATTTCGAACAAGGTGTAAAGTTTTATCTTTTTAAAAAATTATTGTATTTACAAATTGATATATCATTAGTCCAAAAAAATTTGATATATCAATTAAAAGTACAAATTACATGGTTTTAAATTAAATAAAAAATTCAACAAAACAAGATATGACAAAAATATTTTATCTTATCAAACGATTAATAAAAACGTGAACACAAATTATCAAGAGATTGTAATAGTACCTGTGAAGAAAAAAATGGACGGAAGGAATATTAAGCTATTAATATACTCCCTCCGTCCCTCTGTATTTGTCCACATTTGACTTTTGAAAATGTTCATCTAAGCACTTTGACTCATCAAATTCTCTCAATGTGTAAGCCTAAATATAATCATGTGTGATCTTGTTTGATTTGTCTTAACATATAGATTATTAATATATAATTTCTATAATTTTTTAATATACAAATTACAAGATAAAATGAATTAAAGAAGTGCATTGGATGATGTGCAAAAATGAAAGTGGACAAATACAGGGGGACAGAGGGAGTACTTAGTATAATGTGCTCCATATTTTTATGAATTTCATGATTAAAATTTATCTATTTTTATTCGAAAAAACAAAAATGAACAAATAAACTAAAACAAGTGGAGTATTACTCCGTATTAGTTTTACTCAGAAATGCATCATCAAATCACAAAAGGATAAATCTATTTTAACTTTAGAGTTTGACAAGTGTTTCAGAAATACACAAATAGTAATTATTATCTATGTAAGCCAGATAACTGTTTATCCATGTTGGTAAAAACACCTAATGTCAAATTTTGGTGTCAAACTTGGTGTAACTACAGTATGGTCTATCACAAGATGCATAGGAATAAGGAGGATTGTCATCAAATAAGGAGGAGGATTCATCAGACAAGTGACATTGTACTGAGGTAGTCTGTAGTTTGCGTTGGAAATGAATGCTTCTGATCTCCACAAAAAAAAGATATGTTTGCTAACTAGAAAATTGGAAAACATAAAATTTATTTGTCTTCCAAATTTCCTGAAAGCAACATAAAAATTCCAAAGTAATCACATCATTTTTTTTAAATTTAGAAAATAGAAAAATTGTTTAAAACATTTACTCTTTTAGTTATTTTGCTTTTTCATTGGTATCTTACTCCATTTTTATTCATTGCAACTGATGGTGTTTGCAAAAGTAAGTTGGTCTAACAATTGGAACAAAATTGAATATAACTTTGAATCAAACCAAACTAAATTTTAATAAAATCAAAGAGAACAATCTTTTAGATCTGTCAACCCCACAACTGTTGATCACCTCGCAAAAAACCACTATTGTCACAGTTGAGCATGGTTATCTTCGTTTTCAGAAATAGGTTTTCTTACTCCATAGTTAGAAAGAATAATACTCCGCAATTGAAGATGACACAAACATAATGCATCAAATCATGCATAACTAATTCACCGCTAAAGTTTAGTTGACACTCACCCATCTACAGCACTTCCGTTCGTAAAATTGATAATTCCTACTCCCTAACCCCTCACTAAACCCCGGGGTAAGGGTAGGATACGATGCAGCTAGGGGTTTAGATAAGGAATAGGAACAATCAATTTTGAAGGACATTCAACTGAGGAGTACATCTTACTAAAAAATTCTACTCCGTGTATGAAATGAGATGATATATAGTTTGAATAGTCGCACTACCAAAGGTACACCAGGTTGTATGGTAGACATTATCATTTTTTCATGAGTTCAAGAACTTTTACTTGAACACACACATTATGGTTGAAACGACATCATTAATAGGGACTTAGGGTGATCGAGTGACACAAATCCATTCAAGGATCCTATGATGTTCTTTCTGTTGGGCTCGAAACTATTTGATATATCTGATAAATGATACTATATTCACTACATATAAAAAGTGAACAAAAAGAGACACACAAAATACTCAAGGGAATGTATAGCCAAACCCAAAGAAAATTGAGTAGATGAAATTTTGGTCTAATTCCCAATTGCTTATCTGAGTTTTGAGTTGGCAATCTAAAAAATACATTCAATTTTTATCCCAATAACATTGTTTGAACTCTCAAAAACACTTTTGTTCTAAACACACAAACAGTGAAGAGAATGGCATTTATGCATATAACTAGAGAGCAATAGATGACATATAAGCTGCAAGACCATAGGAAAAATGATTGCTTTAAGGATCCAAGAGTGATAATGATAGCAAAATCAAAGGTTTAATGAAAAAAAAGAGGAGAGAAAAGGGTTAATTAATCACCGCCGGTCTGGTAGACATAGGTGAGGCCACACTTGCCGCAGTAGTGGCGGTCGAAGTGGTTGGCCATGAAGGTTCCGGCGCCGCACTCGGCGTTGGGGCACTCCTTGCGAAGCCTCTGGACCTTTCCGGACTCGTCCACCCTGTAGTACTGCAGGACGGCGAGCTTCACCTTCTTGTGCTTGTGCTTCAGCTTCTTCGGCTTCGTGTACGTCTTCTTCTTCCGCTTCTTCGCGCCGCCGCGGAGGCGGAGGACGAGGTGGAGCGTGGACTCCTTCTGGATGTTGTAATCGGCTAGGGTTCGGCCGTCCTCCAGCTGCTTCCCGGCGAAGATCAGGCGCTGCTGGTCCGGCGGGATCCCCTCCTTGTCCTGGATCTTCGCCTTCACATTGTCGATCGTGTCCGACGATTCCACCTCGAGGGTGATCGTCTTCCCCGTCAGGGTCTTCACGAAGATCTGCATTTTCGTCCGAGCGGCTGTGGAAAATGAAGCAGAGGCGTACCTTGATGATATATAAGCTAGGGTTTCGAACTGGGCTTAAAGTTAATTTATTTAGGCCCATCATTGTGGAAAACTTCTTTTAAATTAACTTTATGCACTTATTTTTTATTGAAGGATTATATTTTTATTTCTTTTTTTATTTTTATTGAAATCAAAAGTACATTTTTTTATAATGTCAAATATATTGGTTTTAACTTATCAAATATATAAATATCAAATTTCTAATGCATACCATGTAGTTTTTTCTTATGTCATGTCTTTTAAAAATGTCATGTAAGAGTGGCATATGTTAAGGTCATTTGCATGCCGTGATTCGCCACCCCACTTGTTCAATCTCTAACTATATGATTTTTTTATAGCATGATAAGTAAATTCAAAATCTCAATCTTTAAAATCTTTAATGATGCAACACTCTTCGAAAAGAAAGAAGTTTCATCGTGTGCTGAAGGACCGTAAGGTTTACATGAATTTTCTCACACAAATTTTATGTACTTAAAGAAAGTACATAAAGGTTATTTGACTTACATAAAGGTTTACCATGAACCTTAGGTCTATAAATGAATCTGAGTCGAAAAACATCTCAATCAAAATACTTCTTTTTCTCAGAACTTGCGTGAGTGACTCTTAATGTCTTTTGGGAGGAGACTTTGGGATCTCACGGGAAAGAAAATAAAATCTTGCCGAGAGGCTAGGATTGTAGTTATCCTTCAAGGGAGGACTTAGGTGCTCAGGGAGAGGGCTATGTTGCTTTGCGGGGTGGGTATAACCGAGCTCAAGAGAGGACAGACTAAGGTGCCTCGTGGAGAGGACATAGTTACCTTGGTAAGTGGTTATGACCGACCTGGGGAGAGGATTTAGGTAGTGCGTGAGAGGGATTAGTTACTCACAAGGTGGTTATGATTGATCTCGAGAGAGGATTTAGGTGCCTCGTGGAGAGGGTTTAGTTACCTCGCAAAGTGGTTATGACTGACCTCGTGAGAGGACATAGTCAATAATCAAGTTTGCATCCGGTAAGAGCATCCAGACATATCTCTTCTTTAGGCTTGACCTCGTCATATGAGATGCAAGCCCTTTGTTTTGTGATTGAACAATAATCAAGTTTGCATCCAAGTATGACCCTCCCTTTAGGCTCGACTTCGTTATAGGAGGTGCAAGCCCCTTAGGGGTTTAGCCAAAAATTTAGTTTGCATCAGGAAAGTACATTCGAGTATAACTCTTCATTTGGACTCGACCTCGTTATAGAAGGTGCAAGCCCTTAGGGACTTTGCCAATAATCGAGTTTGCATAAGCCCTTAGGGACTTTGCCAATAATCGAGTTTGCATCCGGGAAGTTGGGCAAACTCTTTATTTTAGAATTTCACATCTGGAACACCAATAGAATGTTGCTCCCTGCATCTCTCAATAGATGATTCATTTTGGTTTGGCACTTGCTTTAAGTGAATTAAGGAAATTGTTGTTCACCAATTCAACTTTCAAAAAGAAGAAAATTATTTTGTCCTCCAAAGAGTTAAAGAAAAATGTGAAACAAAATACAAATTTAGCGGGGATGCAATTGTGGTGGGGGGGAGGGGGTGGGTTCGGGTCAGGCCCGAGTGGGAGGTCTACCGAGAGAATAAGAACTGTCAATTATTTCAACAGAGAACCTGACTTATCCCATGACATTGCTAAGCAATTTCATGGGAATCATCCCTGTTTATAAAATACATGATGTCAAACTTTTGTGTCAAACTTGGTGTAACTATAGCTTGGGCTATCACAAAACGCATAGGATTGTCAATCCTCATTCATACCGCTACCAATTAGAATCAAGTGATTCGCATTATAAAAAACGCGCCCCTATAGTGCAACAAAATGCATCAACGGTAAGTATCTCGTGGTCCAATTCACAAAATAGCGCAACAGCTAAATTTCTTTCACTTTATTTTCCAAATGTATTTCACAAAACAAACAAAAGGATATATAGTTTACAAGGACAAGGATACAAGAATAATAGCTAGCTAGGAAGAAGGGAACATGGACAAGGTTGATTGGAACAAATCAAAGAAGGCCTGAGAGGTAGTCTCATCATCAGCTTTGATCTTCACCTGTGCTTTACATGAAGCTGAATTGACTACACACTCCACCAGATAGGTGCACGGGTCGTCGTTTCCATTCTGGGCGAAGAAGAAGAACTTGAAGTTAGGGGCTTGACCGCCCGAAGCTATACAATTGATGGCATTCCCCTGCATGTGCTTTATGAGGGCCTGTGGAGTTGTTAGTGCTGCAACACCTTGTGGATTCATGGAGATCTCCTGAACAATTTAGAGAAGAGGAGTAAGAGAAAACTAGAGATCATATTTGTAGTAAAATGTTTCAAAATTATAATCAATGCTATGAAGATTCCTATGCACCAGCTGGGTGGCATGTTGGGGCTAACTGGCTAGATAAATGAATTAAAACCAGAACCTGTGATATCAATATTGGAAGTTGTCTCCATTTCTGCTGAAACACGTTTGGAGCCAAAACAGCTTTAGGAACTAGCGACAAAGCAGGAGGTGAAGGATGAGCAGGGGTTGGTGCAGCTGGCAACCCTAAACCGAGTAAATCATCTATGGCGAAACTACTTGAAGGTGCACCAGGGGTAGATTTGTAATTGTAATCTAAGGAAACGAGATCCGTTTGGGACTGCATAGCAGTTGTATCAGCAGCTGCAAGGGGGGCACTATATCCTGAACCATTGTTCTTGCTAGGTGCCTTGCTTTCTTCTCTTTCTGAAGTGCTTAATAGTAAATCCTTGTCATTTGCATCTGCTATCTGAGCTGAAGCCATATTATCTGTAGGCTCTTCCCCGATAGATAAGTTACCGAGTTCTTCTGTGAAGGCAAATGGCCCTCTATGTTCTTTGTCAGTAAACATGTATGAAGGCTGCAAAGTTGCATGTGTTGTTAGTACACCTAAAAAAGAGTATTGTTTGCATGTACATTAGTAAAAGCAGTTATAAGAATGAAGAAAAAGTGTTTTTGATGAATAGGACCGTTTGGTATGGGTTTTATATCTTCTTAAAGGTAAGGCGTTTCGTAACCATAACACATATTCTCTGGCCAGATAAGTCAAAAACTACTTGGTTTACCGATAAGCAGAATAAGACAGCAAACGAGACAAAAGCACTTTTGGAAGATGTGCATTCCTTCAAAAGCACATTCAAGAAAAAGTAATTATTCAAGTTGCTAAAACACCTAATTTACATGTAAAAGTGCTTTACATCCATTAGAAGAGCCTTTGAGCATGTCCACCAGGACCATAACTCTAGAAGAACATCCCAACAGGCTCTTATTAACATAAGTTTCAGCTTTTTTCATATGACAGTGACGAAGTGCTTGTGTATCTCACAAATTACAAAACACTAGAAATTTTGATTTAAGCCTTAAGAACATGTTCTTCTTTCTTTCTTTCTAAATAAAATGGGATTCTTTGTATAAGTCCATTCCCATCTTTCAGAAGTATCCTTGTCGAGGATCAATAATCATCACAGTACTCATGATCATAATTCCAAAAAATAATCATCAATATTACCTTCTGATACACAACAGAGAGACTATTGAATTCATCAAAAATACGATCTTTGATTTCACTACTTTGTGTGTCGGCAAAAACAGAAACAGCTTGCTTTGGAGGATTCACCACACGTTCTGCCAAAGTGACATTGTACTGAAGCAGTCTGTAGTAGAACAATGCCCTATCATGAACATCCTGCATTTTTAATGAGAGCATCATGACTAGCTGAGATTAAGGTGATTGTATTGAGGGAAAGTCTAAATAATACAGTCATGTCCTGAAAAATTATGCTACCTTTGTCCCAAAGAGTTTAAAAAAGTCATGTCTGTGTAAGGTACAACTTTTTAATTTTAATCAAATAATTTAGGGTGCGAGCGCGCACAAATCATTTACGGAATATTTATCTTAGCACTCTCTGAAACTTGTATTTTCCTATGAAGCCCTTCAAGGCTTCAACAAAAACTTGGCTGTAAACTTTTTTTTGTTATAACTTAAAGGCATTATAAGAATTGCACTTAAAATAACAGTTGACTTTTAGAACATAACCTTTTTTGGGACGAGGAAGTAACTACTACAGACCTGATGAAAATCACTAATACCAGCAGTCAATGCAGCACCTAAAGCCATCTGGGTTTCCGGCGGTCGTCTTAGGAAACATTTCATTACTGCTGTTAGTAAATGCAAGCGGACCTGCATATTTTACATTGTGTTGATTACTGTAAACACCATTGCAATGTAATTACCTGCCATGAATCTCTAGTCAAAACAAAGTGTTTCTAAACATCTCAAGCAAACTTATTTATAACACAGCCACACAGGGCCTATTACTGTAAATAGCATTGCAACGCAATACTTCCTGGGAATGTCCAGTCAATTAGGGTTATCTTTTAATCAATTTAACAATAATAGGTTACTTTTGATGTTGCTATAGATGATGCTTAATTTGCTTATTACTAGGGCCGGCCCTGAGAAAGTGCAAGGTGAGCACTTGCACAGGGCCTCCAAATATAAAAGGGCCTCCAAAAAAGGTAGGATGACCGACGAAATACCATTTCATATATATTTTTATAATTTAGTTTTTTTACTTTTCTTAAATTTATCAAGTGTTAGGTTATTAGCTATTTAATTTAGTTTGTTATATGTCCAATTCATGTACTAACGCATTCTTATTTTCTTTTTTTTTTTTTTTGCAGTTTTGCACTACGTATTTAATAGGCCTGCTTTCATTTCAAAACAGGGCCTCCAAAATGTGGGGACGGACCCTGCATTATTGTTATTGCACCATGCCACCACATGAGATATAAAGCTCACACAAAGAGCATATGTCAAAAACTAAGAAACCAAATCCACCAACAATGTTTTGGCTTCATGGAAAATGTCATTTATCATCACAAGTCACAACCAGCCCCTTAATCTCAACTAAATATCTGGCCGTTGGCATGGATATTAGAGCTTTGATAAATTGTGTAAAACTAGTTAAAATTATGAAATCATTCAAAATAGCATTGTGGGAAAGTTTTAAGTCGGATGCCCTTCCAGTCACAACCTTCCAAACATGAAATAATGTTATGAATCCCAAAAAAAGACATCTTTATAACTTATAAGGTTCTTCATTTGCATGGAAAATACTACAAGCACACAGAGTTGAGATGAATGTAATAGTACGATCTAAATTAATAATCACGGAAAATCCCATTTATCATCATCATTATCAGCACCATAACTCACAGCTAGTTAGGGTCGGCGGGATTAAATGTATGGTGCTGATTATTTGTGTATAACAATAAGCACTAAATTCTTCAATGAGAATAGTGGTATGAAGGCATGTAGTAGTTCGGTTTCAGGGGGGGGGGAGTACGATTAACAGTAAACCTCATTTGCGAAGAACATAAATATATGGGCATCCTACCAAAACAAATAAGCGAGCTATGCATGCGATTGGCTGATTGCTGGCATTCAAACCATAAACAAATTTTCTCATCAATCATCACAGAAAAACCTCAATTTCAATTAATAAAAAAGGAGAACATCTTGCAGTGAGCCATTCACACGGACATTTTGAATATATGAGCAAAAAGAAACTGTATTATGAGTCATGAGTCATGACGAGTTTGCACAAAATGAATAGCAAGTAAAATCTAACTAGGTCTTACCTCTGGGGAGTGCTCCTCCTCCCAATTCTCGACAAGACTCTCTAATATGTAAGGAGCATCCTGCATGTCTTGAGCATACTCCCCTAACATCCAAATAAGTGCTGCCTTGGCTTTGGGTTCATAGATATTTTTGCTACTAATATTTCCAACAACTGCTATACAATCATGACTCCATTGAGGATATTTTCGGAGAAGATCCTTCACAAGTACCTAAAAGAAAAAATGCTACACTGTTTCATCCAGTCCATGAAATAGCATAATGCAATCTTTAGGTCACCCAACCCGGCAGACAACTTTTACTATTTGATGACAATGACATGCCATAATGCAATCTTTATGCCAATGATACAGCATAATGCAATCTTTATGCCAATGATTCCATGTAGGGCTAATTCGCTACTATGGTTGGGGGCTGGGCCCTTAGCATTTATTATTTAGGAAAATGGAAAATCAACAAAAGTGAGGAGGAGGTGGAGCTAGGCATCTATCAAAGAATGGGTTACTTGAGTTACGAACAAAAGGATACACCATGTATTTTCACTGGAAAAGGAAAAGGGGGTACTTCCATATTTTTGGACACAAGAAGCATATAAGTTGGATATTGCACGGTTATGGTTACATGCACTTTGCATTCATGCCTGTGTCTCATACCTAATCCTGGAAATCAAATGGTCGAATGGAACTATGCTGTAAAACCTATAGCTTACCAGAGCCTCAGCAGTCACATGATCCTTTTCCATTTCCAGGAACTGAAGCAACCGGTCAACAATAGCATTTACATCATACTGCTGCAGTGCAATTTTGCCAACAGCCCTAATAGATTCCCTTGCCATGGGAATATCAACATTTGCAGCATATTCACATAATTCAGACACTGAAATGTTTAGAAAGAGCTCAGGTGCAAGACATATTTACAGCATTAAACACTAGCATCAACCTCGTATAAGTGTGATTGCAATAATTGAGTACATCAAAAAGATCTAACGAGTGGTATAGAAAGATCCAAATTAAATTTTTAGCATCATGAAATCTATAACATTGGAATTTTCTTCCTTATACTCAAGAATTTTATAAAATAAAATTGTCCTATTTTATTTTTATCTTCCTCTTAGTGCTCCCAATAAAAACCTCAAATGTAACGACTCCAAAAGACCAAAACACTATTTACCAGGTAAAAAAACCATGATATTTTAAATTTTTTATGTCATACATACCTATTTCATAGGTATTGATTTCATTAGCCACTGCAGTTAACATCTCAAGCTTCAACTTTTTCACATAAAATGGTTCATTGTACTGGCAGTAGAAGTGTTTGAAGTCTGATGAAAATACGTAAGGTGCACGCATCACTAGTAGATGCAGATGGCTTAATACTGCATAAGATTGCTCTGGACTTCCTGAGCTCACTAGAGTTAGCAGGGGGGCTTTAATGCGCTCGTATACCTAAACAGAATCACCAGACAGAAGAAATACATGGCATCAGAACTTTCCATCTTTTTCAGATAATGCTTACCTGAAAAGAACGCAAGTTTTCAACAGAATAAAGACGAGGATAACTTTTTCTGATGGGGTGCATCAAAATGGAAATGAAAACAGAAGCACCAACAATATTTTAAGTTTAGTATAAAAGAAAACAGAAGCATCATTAATATTATCAGTGTAATATGAGTAAATAGTGTTGTTGGTTCTCCATATAAATCAAACATACTCAGTAAATCCCACTAGGAAGTAAAGTTTGGGAAATGTGAGATATACGCAAGCCTTAATTCCAACCTATGCACTACATTGGTAGTTTTCGTGACACCTCTAGCAAGTAGTGGAAGATAGTGTGAAATGTGAATAGTGTAAAAAGCCTAACAAGAAGGAAAGGGAAAATAAAAAAAAGGAAGGCAACAAACAAGTTAACTCCCACTCCGTGCACTTCTGGCCACAAAGTGAACCCTCTCAAACCCCACAAGGATTCCGGAAACCCCTATCAGATCTCCAATGCTTATATGATGTTCTTTATGGCCTTCCTCTCTCCTCTATCAAAACGGTCTACACCCTCCTCACCGGTGCTGTAGCATCTCTCCGGTGGACTTGACCAAACCACCACACTCTTCCCTCTCACTTTATCAATAATAGGTATTTAGACCATGTTCCATATTTCATTTCATGATGAAAGAAAATTGACCCTCAAGAGCTGCACTCATCTATTCTAAGGCACATTTCTATCAGCTATGTACATTTCTAATTAAAAAAAGAATATATTCCATTCTACATGTCGAAAGCGAGTTTAATTCTGAGTACATATAATATTTGGTAATGAAAACTTTGAAAGCAAATGAAATTAAAAAAAAATTCTCATGGACCCTAAAATAGTCATATCACATGCGTTGAAAGAGTTTGAATGATCAAGATTTGATCATTTGAGAGAGAGAACACCAGCTACTGTAACCAATGACAATGACAACCGGAATTTGCATGAAAACAATGGAAACTATTAAGCATGCTAGCGACACTGTATTTATGTATTATGGGCTTTATGGCCGTTAAAGTCACACTTAGAAAACAGCTTTAGCTTAATGCAAATATCCGAATAGTGGCAATCCAGTGATAAGGGGAAGTATTTCATCAGTCAAACCCTATAATAGGAGAAATTGTATGCACCTGTTGATGAACATCCGTCATGGACAGTGTTAACTGTAGAAACAGCTTGATTGTTGATAACACAACAGCTCCATTAGCATGTTGGAGCCTATCTTCAAGAACATTCATGATGTCAAATATCTCATTAGTATCCGAGGGGACATATTTGGAAACCAACTCCAGAATAATACATTGAGCCCATTCATTGAATTCCTTGATCCTAAACGAAGCAAAATAAAAAAGTGGCTCAGTTGAAATATCTAATGAAAATGAAGATGGATGGAGAGCACAAAAACGAGAGAGAACATGATAAAAGTAGAGAACTGATCATTATAACTTGCCATACTTCCTCATCAAATAGCAAGGGAAGTGGAGAAAGGACGAATATGTGTGTGTGTGTGTGTAGAGAGAGAGAGAAGTCGATCTGTGAGTGGGCTACATTATATTTAATGATCAAGTTCCCCCACTTGAGTGTCGGGTTAGCAATTTGAAACCCAATACATTTTCGATACGTGCTTTGAAACCCAATACATTTTTGATACGTGCTTTTTGGTTAAAATGTATTTTTGATGAGTTCAAAAATAATTTCTGGGGGCATTCATTTTCTGTGAAATGATTGAAAATGAAAAAAAGGGCTCACTAGAAAGTGTTTTGCTTAAAATAGTGTTTTGGGAGCCAAAATGCTTATAGGTAACACTCCCTTATTATGTTATCCACATGAAATTAGCTTTTGTTTCTACCACACAAAACTAAAAATGTTTCAGAGTTGGCTTAGATATAATTTGGATATGAAAGTTATACTTACATACAATGTCTTCGCTATGAAGAGAGGAATATCTTTCTACAAGAGAATAAAGTTACTAATATCTCTGCAAAATTACCTATTTAAAAGGTAATATATAGTTGGCTTGCTTAGCAATATCTCTTTGTCCCTCGACACTTCCTCAGATTTAGATCCTTCCAAAATCCAAATCTCTTGCAGGGAAGACAAACAATTGGCAACAACCTGCAACAACAACAGCAACCAATAATTTAGTCAATCAGAAATCAGTTATTCTGTTTTGAATTTCAAATCAGACTAAGAAAAGTTTAATGACAACAAAAGCACAAATATGAATCAGGACATAATTCCTCTTAATACTGGTAGGGCAGACCTGAATCCTATCTACCATTCACTATCTAAGCATAAGAATGAACTTGGTGGAAGATTATCTATGCTGCTATAAAACTATATGTAGAAGAGAATATCGCACATCACAAAACTACCCTAAGAAGAAAAATATGACTGCTCACACTTCACTCCTTGACCAATGACCATATAGAGGGGGTACTAATTTCCTTAGGAAAGTCCAAGAGCTGCTTAAATATAACTCACTTTTTCTTTTTATCCTTTACAGTTCTGATTGCAAAAAAAATCAATCACTTTGTCTCAGTTGTTATTCAAATAGAACAGTTAGTCAATCCGGTGAAAATACACTTTTTTGTTCAACCAAGTGCAACTGTCAACTTAATGGTTCAATGGTTGGCTCATATATATTATATAATGAATATCAGATACACACACACATAATAATTTATGTATTTTCATATGAATATAGAAAATGAAATCCAAACGATAAATATCAATATATCGTGCTCGTTGTCATTATTAACTTTCTAAGACTAATTAACATTGCAAAGTCATGCAATAAAGCATAGTGCCAATATTTTTCGCCAAATGCCATTCCTATCGTGATCTTTATACGAATGAATAATGATATGAAAATTCCAGAACCATCATCATCATAGGTTATTACCACATATATGAAAAAGATCATGTCGGTGATGAGTTGTGGCATATTTTCTATTGTCATGTCCATTACAATATTGATGGGTTTTGGTATCAATCTTTTATATAAATTAAGCAAAGTACATTCAATCAAACACATACACTTAAGATGCTAACTAAGCTGTAGCGACATTTGTAATTGTAATAGTTGGCCAATCGGTTAGCCTTATTTTTTCAAAGGTGGAAAACTTTCCTACAGCTTACATATGAAAGAAAATGAAAATAAAAAAATAATAATAGTAACAACTGACCTGAGGATCTGGGTCATTAAGCATCAATTGTTTAAGTAGTGTGGGGAAATCGGCATCAACACAAGTTGAAGCGGAGATATGGTACAGCTTCAAGACACCTAATGCGGCAACTGTCCTTACATAACTGTTTGAATCCTTCAACCCAGAACCCAATGGGCCGACCAAGTACTCCACCAAATTTTCCACCCGAAGTGAACACAGACTCCTGAGAGCCAACCCCCTAATCATCGGGTCCTCATCCTTACAGTCCCTTTGAAGAAAATTTATCGTCAAAAGTGCAAGATCAGGATTGTACTTCGCATAGTTCCCAACATATAGGTAACACATCTTTTTTAGCACAATGTCCGAAGTAGCGGAACACATAACCATTTCACTAAATACTGATGACATGTTAATCCCAACTGTCATGTATGAGATGACTTTCTTGAATAGTTCTCTCTTTGTATCATCAGTCCCAGGAGTTCGGCTCCCTGCCAGTTGCCTCAGCTGCGCCTTCAAATCTGACACTTCCCCTTTCCTGACCATATCAAAAAATAATTAGCACCATGGCTATTAGATCCACTATAATGTGAATCTTCACGACTATTCAAGCACGCGAGATAACATTCTCCAGTGATCATGTCGCTCTAACACAAAGTAAACTTAATACCATACAGAAATCACCAATCTTGCAAAGATTAAAATTCCCATCCAACTATAGCTCCCAGCTTCAGCATTAAATTAATATAGAAATGCAAAGTACTGTTGAGTGTTAACCAAGTTAAAACTCACACTCCAAGCTTATTGATCAAAATGTGAAATATTGATCAAATGAAACTTTGCCCAGCTTATTTACATAGTTTCATTTTATCAATATCACTAGAAATGAAACACATAACCAATGCATAGACAAGAACAACAACAACCCAGTGTTGTCCCTGTAATAATCATAGAGGCTGTCTTCATTCGACTCTTGATGCTTTGATGCATTTACTTCCCAAAGCTGTATAGAAGTAACAAGCAAGGGAACTCAATGTGCCATTTTGATTCAGTCCATTATTTGCCTAGAACCAATGCCTGGAAGAAACTCAAAAGTTTCTCAATTCAATGTAGACCAAACGCATACCCAATGATCACAATATCACAAAAAATCAATGATCCTCGCACGGATCAGTTCAACAGAGTGGTCTGACCCAACAACTTCGTGCATAGAACAGAAGAACAATCCAATTCGAAAAATATGTATTTCTCATTCTAACAAAAAAAACAAGTACTCGTATATACAAATGCATCTACAGAAACAACACGAAGTCACACAGAGATGATGATGAAAAATTGATTGTACCCAGACGGTTGAGAAGGGGATGGCGATCGTTGAGTATGATGAGCTGGAGGAGCCATGTTTAAGTGTGAACAGTCTTCTTCTTCTTCTTCTTCTTCTTCGTCTTCTTCTTCCTCCTCTGTTCGAGTATTACAATTGGAATGGATCTAATGGCGTGCCGCGAGCGAGTTGATGATGAGCTTTTTGATTCAGCTATGAAGATCAAGTATCACGTGATCACATACTCAGATCTGTTCGAACAAATCTCAAAAACTACTAGTACTCCCTCATAAAATAAAGTGAAATTTAACTTAAAAAATTTAATTTGAAATAATAATGTTTGTTTATATTGCTCCTCATTTAAGGTTTGTTACTTACTCCTTCCGTTTCAATTTAATTACAATTTTTTTATCTTCTCTTAAAAGGTTTGTTTATTTACTCGATTTTATCAAATATTTGATAAAACAAGATATATTTGTCACTTTTTGTTTTGTAAAATTTTTAACGTAGTTTTTTAATATATAATTTTTATTTCTTATTGATATAACGTTTTGTAAATAAAATAATTTCAAAAAGTAAAATATTTCTCCTCGTAAGCCTTAATTTGTAATCAAATTGGTGATGGAGAGAGTATGAGGGAGTAATAACACATAAAAGTCAACATTTCTGTCTCGACTCAAATTCTAAATGAACTTTTCTACAAATTTTGAAAGTGAGCTTCTTTGCACCTAATGCATGAGAAAACATCTTTGAATTTATTGTTTAATACATTCATCTATAAATTAACTTTTCGATTACTATTCTCTCTAACATTCATTTATCATCATCTTGATGTGACTCTGCTTATTACAGTAATATTTAATAATAATAATAATAATAATAATATGTCATTAACGAGCTTATCTCAGTAAGTGTTATCTGGTATATATGAGTTAAAACTAATATTTTGTCTGTATCATTTATTAGGTCTATACCATATACATAGTACTTTGTATTAAGTAAATAAAATAATATTGTGAAAACACATTACAAAATAAATCTAATAAAAATAAATTTATATCAATATCTAATATCAATTTTATTTAATTGATAATCAATTACCATTTCCAAATGCTACCTTAAAAAGTTTGTTTGAAATAAAAATATTTGTTTATTTGCGTTGTATTTATATGTTTAATGTGTTAACCGTGTTTTTAACGTAATGGTGTACAAAAAGTCAACATTTATGTTTTGCTACGACTCAAATTCTGAATGAACTTCCCTACAAATTTTGGAAGTTAGCTTCTTTGCACCAAAGGAATGAGAAAAATTCTTTAAATTTATTTATTAATTCACCCGACTTTAAATTAACTTTTCGATTACTATATTCACTTTAGCAATCTTTTTTTCATCATCTCAATGTGACTCTATTTATAAATATTTAATAATAGTAATAATAATATGTCAGCAACGAGCTTATGTCTGTAACTGTTATTTGGCATTGAGGGGTCAAAAACGGAATACTGTCTGTATCATTTATGCATACTTCATTCATCTAATTTAACTTGTTTATTCACTATTCACATTTTATATTGTTAAATTTTAACACTTTCATACTCATTTTTTTTGTTAAATTGATAGATTAATATAATTATGTTCTATTTTGGTTTATAAAACTTTATATATAACTTTTAAATATTTAAATTTTAATCTCATATGAATTGAATTGAAAATAGGTTATATAAAAAATCGTACAGCGAAAGCAATAACTTAAATTAAGATAGAAGTACTTTTTTGTGATTAATGAAATTAATTTTTTCATATTATTTTTACATGGTATTGAAGCTTAATCCAAAAAATGTGTACTCCGAGATGTCAATTGTTGAAATTCAATATGAATGAAACTATAATGTAAATAGTAATTACTTCGAATCAGCAAACTTCAAAATTAATTTTTTTAATGTTAAATATTTGTCGATACTTTTAGAGCTTCTTTTCTTCAACTTATTCTTTTCTTATTACTTATTTTTATTAAGATCAAGTCAGATCAAATTAGATTAATTTAAATGCAACTACAATCAAATAAAAAACAATCAGATAAGTTAAAAGACAACAAGTCAAATCAAATTAGAAATACTTTTAAATGTAAGCCACTATTGTTTACTGAACACACAATTTCAATTCATAACCAATTTATTCATTCACTAGTGAATACTCTTTCCGTCCCAAAGTGTTTGTTCAATTTTGACTTTTTACCATCAACCAAAATCAAACTTTAAATTTACTTATATCATATATTAAGTAAATAAAATAATATTGTGAGAAATATATTACAAAATAAATCTATTAAAATATTTTTATATCAATATCAAATATCAATTTTATTTAATTCATAATCAAAGGTCATTAATTTTAACTATAAAAAGCAAAAACAAATAAATATTCTGAAAGTTTGTGTAGTAAGTACATGGCTTTATGAATGATTAGCCGTTGGGTAACTAGTGGTAGGCTTACAATTACAATTAGTGGTTGGCCGGAACTAATCATTTTATCCCAGCCCTTATTATGATACACTAGCATGGGACACACTTCGTGTGTGTGCCCAGATATTTATGTTTTGACTAAGTAGAAGTATATTAATATTATACAAAAGAGTGTGGGTTACATTAGATGTTATATATTACAACATACAAACTGTATTAGAGGGTGACAAAATTTGGAACCTATTTTGTTCCAAAAGAGTGATGGTTACAAAAGAGTGATGGCTACATTACATGTACTCCGTAATATATTACAACTTACAAACTGTATTAGAGGGAGTGACAGAATTTGGAACTTATTTTGTTCCGTGTAGCTGGGTGTTAGTAGTAGTGAAGTAAGTTTTTAACAAGGGGGTAGGTAGGTTTGGACCTCAGCACTGTTTTTTGGGTAGCAGGACCTCAGCACTGTTTTTTGGGGCTGGGTTGTTCCACTTTCAGCTTTCTCTTTAAGGTTGGATTTGATGTTTTTTCATGACGGAGGTCGTACAGGCATAGAAGTGAGAATGTCTTTGATGCAGATGTTTGGTCGGTGCGAGGTGGTAGTTGCACTGCAGCCGTTACCTTCTGAGATTCAAGACTGTTGTTCAAATCCCCGCATTTTAGCAACTCCATTGGTGTATTCAATTCAAGTGATCGTACAATCTTTTCGAGTGTGTCGGTGAATAGTGTCACTTGTAGAGCACTAATTTCATCTTTTATTTCGGACAGAATTCTGAATCTGTAATGAATTGTAAAATAGATTAAACATATGTATTCATAAGGTGAAAGCACGGATTGCAAAATAGATTCAGTGTCTATCGTGGTAAAGAGGAAGTGGTTACCTCTTTATGGTTTTTGCTTCAGGGTCACCACACAGCATGCATTTAAAATTGATTCCTTCTATGTAGTCCACTTTTCTGTTGCAACTGTTGCAACCAATGTAGAATGTAATGTCTCCAGTTTCTAAGACCTGCAATTGTCCTTCAACCCAGTGGATGTCTCCCTGTATGGTCATGTATTATATTTGTATATGTTCAAATTAAAGTGTGACATGCATATTAGAAGTTGAAAGGATATATCGAGCAGATTATGGTCCTCCAAATACTCTCATGGCAACTTAGATGATGACACATCTTATTTAATTGGCACAGTGGCTCAGGTAAAGGCTGACCAAGCCAATGATGCCTGGCTGGTCTTTTGGGATGATCAGCCACACTGGGACTGAGATATGGCCCGGACTCCCACGGGGGCAGCAGTGGGAAATCTTGGAAAATGGGTAAAATCCTTCTCAGTTTGCCTTAACCAATTGATGAGAATCATATCATTAAATAGGAAGTAATGAGGTATGAAGTGACTCAACCGATGAGTATTTGATTGAGCCTATTTAACCTATAAGCGTCAGTATAGTTTAGTTGATGAAGGAACAAAGAAGTCAGCCTACTTAATGAAAGCGCTTCCTGTTACTGACGTAATTAAGTCTAAGATGAGTGTTGTTCTTAGGTAGCTAACGTAGTAAAGGCGTTAAAGGTCTTAGATAGCTTGTAAAGACTCACTATTTGCTTGTTTGGTGATGCTGCAGGTCTATAGTCTTGTATAGTTTCAAAACAGCAGAGGCCAAAGGTAACGAATGAATGGGTATAGAATAAATGGATATGGGAAATGAACTGATGTCGCTGCATAACACGAAAAAGAGTATCAAAAGTGATAGTTACCATAAACAACCGAATTGAGTAAAGAACTATTGAAGTTTTGCTCATCATTACCCTGAACACCTGCTGCTCATCAAGAAATGATCAGTTTGGTACTTATTTACTTACTGTAGACCACTTGGTAGGGACAGTGAGTTTCGGTACATTAATACACTGTGTTCGAAGGGCATCAAGAAGTAGTTCATTGGCACCACTATTTAAGCATTACTGAAGTGATAGTAGTCCCGATTCGGGCAAATTCATTGGCACTGTGAAACTTTTAGACAAAGGCTTTAGGGGCTGGTGTCAAAACTTTTAGGGCTGACTTTCATGAGAAAATTGGTACTTTAAGGACTGATTTTCAAAGATAGGTCTGGCTTTGAGCTTAATTTTTAAGATAAAACAGAACCTGTAGGGGTTATTTTAAAAAGAAAGGGGATTAAAGCAAGTCAATTCTTGAGTGTAACTTTAAGGGCTGCCCTATCAATTTCCATTTAATCTAACTGAAAAGTCAAATATTAGTGACTAATTCTTGGAAAAAATGTGGTTTTCAAGCTGATTTTAAAGAAGAAACCGGACAATAAGGGGCAGGTTTTAAAACAGAGTTTGAAGATACCTTCCTTGTACTAAAATGTTTTTGACATTATTTGAATATTTTGAATTTTAAGTATTAAACCTTAATAAAGTAAAAGAAGTTGAGTAAAGTGGATTGAATTTAAGTAGAGGTAGAAGATTTATATGTTCTTCACATCAATTTTTTTAGCTTCTTTGAACACTACAAGGTTATATTCTTTCCTACTTCATATCAATACATAGAAAGTTGAGTTAGATTAAGCACGTACTTCAAAACATCGCACAATTTTTTTTACAAATTTAGCCATCAAGACCTCCTGTGCGTTGGATTAATATTTAGTCCTTTTTTTATCATCCTACCTCTTCAATACCTATGTTTTGATTGTATAATTGAACAAGGAAAACTTGCCTTAATTAGAGTAGGGGCTGCGAAGGCGTTTAAACTTGGGGTCCATCCAATTTCTCCACCAAACAGTTTGTACAACCCAAACAGTCTACTTTCTTCTTCTTCTTCACTCAGTTTCCTTCAAATGATCAGAGGTAGAGTCTCATTCAGATCTAGGTAAGCATATTGAAGATCTCAGGTCAATGGTTTTAGCTCGAATTCGGGAGGTTTAACTAGGGAAGTTTATTCTTTAGGTATATTCTTAGGAAGTTCCAAATTATGGATCAAAGAGACAGTTTAGACTTCATAAAGCATTACAAATATTAAATTTGCTGTCCACTTCTCATTATGTTATGCTTTGTATATGACTCTGAAGCATCATATTATTTGTAATTACAAATGAACAAAGCTATTCTTTGAACATAATTTCATTCATTCTCATTTAATGGTCACATGCAGATTGAGCTAATGTAATGGTCACACATGAGTAATTTGTAAAAGGGTTTTAATCAATTCATAGTGATGTCTAAAATCAGAAAAGTGAGTCACACATTAGCAACAAAGGTCTCACTGTGCCATGCGTGCACAAAGGAAGGGAACATGGCACCACATTAGCAACAAAAGTTAACATATTAGCTCCATAGACCTTGTTATGTTTATGGTTTCAAACACAACCCAACCACCCGTTTGCAAAAACAGATAGAGCAAGTGCCCCACATGAGTAATTTGTAAAAGGGTTTTAATCAATTCATAATAACAAAATTACTTTAATTCAAGTTTTATTTGTGTGCTCATCCAATCTAATACTGGGAACAATCGAAACCCTAAGTAAACTAATACCTTTTTTTGAGAACCTAGAAATTTGAGGAAGGAATCCAAAATCAAAGACTGCAGCAATTTTTTTTAATCGGCTGTGCACAAGTACTGGCCGAGAAATGGTGTAGGAATAACTGGAAAAAGAAGGGGGAGGTTTACCTAGCGTTTGCCGAAGGAAGCTGAGCAATTCAGATGATAGAAGAGGCAAATGCATCCCAGTGAAGATATACGAAGGTAGTGGTCGATAGTGGGGCGGTGAACGGCGAAGAAGGCATTGTCGTGGGGCGGTGGCCGGCAAAGTGACCAATAGCCTTCATTTTTCGTGCAAATTAGATGAAACGGGGAGAGAGGCACTGAGGCGTTAAATCAAACGGTAAAAAGACTAGGTAACGGCCGTAGGCGCTTATAGAAATAGAGAGATTTGAGCTTTGATGTACAAACTTAATTACCCTCTTGCTTTAATCAATTAAACGTCCACAAAGGCTGAGATGGGAAATAAGGACAAGAAGAAGAAGAAAAAGAAGAATGAAAAGAAGTCCGAAAAAAGGGGAAGACAGGAAGAAGAAGATGATGATGAAGAAAGAGAGAGTGAAGGGGAAGAAGAGGAAGAAGAAGATGAGAATGAATGCACCATTTATAGTTTGATTGTCAGCGCGTTTAGTGCTGTGTTTTTTTGCGGGGCAAATGAAGGGGGTGGAGATTAGAAAGTCTTTTAGGCCAACGGGGCATTGGCATTTGGCAATGCAGGCTTAAGTCCGCCACGCCGGAAGAAAAAGAAAAAAAAGGCACGCCACACCGGAAGAGAAACAAGGCACGCCGCGCCGGGGAACCCATTGCAACGGCCAATCACGGCAGATCCGGACGGGCTGCTGCCCATTGCAACGGCCCGCCCCATCGGAGTGGACTTTTATTTTAATTTTCCAGCCTTTAATTGGACGAGCCGCGGCAAGGATCTTTTATCTTCCCGGGCAGCAGTTTTCCACCTCCTTTGCAAATGTCTTTAGAATCCATTTGGTACATAGAATTAGACTTGAATTGAGAATTAAATTTCTCTAGATTTGATGTGGACAATATTAAATTCTTCCATTCCAGTTTATTTTTAGCACTACCAATTCAAAACCTACCAATTCAAAATCCATATTTTTGTGCTGCCAACAATAGAATTGAAATGATTGTTTATCTTTTCTATTTGAAGCAATCTTAGAAGTTAACATTGTTCATCAATTAATCTAGATATTAAACCATTACAACTTCATCAACTTCAGATTGATGCGAGGGCCTTGACAAGGCTTTATAATTTACATTATTAATGACTGAAAACTGGTACAATGCCATCTTCACTATATATATTACTGTAATAACCCAACAAACGTCCCATAAGCAAATCAAATCAAAATTACCAACGCTAATCAGCCTTGGGAATAAAGAAGGCCAATAAAACAATGTCTGCTCATCTATCCAATACCACAAGAAAAAAATTAGAACTATTCACGAATTTAGTTTCCCGACGTCCAAATACTCAACAAAAGCAATGGATAGCGAGGGAAACATCAATCTAAGCTTTGGTAATCTGGATTATGTACTCGATTGAGGAGCACAAACCACGAATCGAACTCGATCAAAGCTTCAAATGTCAATCAACATTGAATTTCAACAAGAATCATTTCAAAAAATTAAAATTTATGATCAAATGAAATTGGAAGAAATCTCAGTCCCTTAGATGTTCATTTCGAATTGCGATCACGCTCGAAAGTCAGTACAGGTCTGTATAGATCATCATCGATTATCCTCCACATTCCAAAAAACAAAAAAAATCGATCTGGAGAAACTCGAATAAACCAAATCACGGATGGAGAATTCCGGTGATGAAGACAGATGTTGATGCCCTAGCGTAGTCCGACGAGGGAGAAACAACGAAGAACAGACATGGAGATCTCAGGTAGCGCAACACAGGTGAATTTTGCTTCTAGGGAACGAGTTGGGCGAGAACGGGAAGGATTTCGCCAACCAGATAGCGAAGCATAATCGATCGCAATCACGAATAAAAAAAACCGAAGAAATTGCCGCCAAGATATAAAACAAAGTGAAACGATAAGAAGAAGAAGATCGGAGGGACGATAATGGCGGACCGGTTCTCGGGGATGATATAATCACAGCTGCGGTATGAAATTTATAAGCGTATTTTCGCAAAGTAGGGTTTGGACGGATGGGTTTTGGTAGTAGGCCAATTCAGCCCATGACGACTTCATAGCAGATCAATATTAGAACTGAATCCGGAAATGGATTTTGAGGAGAAATTTTATTGGGCCGGGAGTAAACAACATAGATCATACTTAAACCTTGATCATGAAGAATATAAAATATATTAGCACTAAACAAATTAACAAATTAACGTTAGTGGACCGCTCTCCATCATCTGGCTTTGTTTCAACAAAAAAATTGAAGAATCCTTTTAAAATTAGTTTTTTTCAGATATTACTTTCTACATATCGCCCGATAATTCTCTAATATTCAGGATCCTGCATGTAATATCATGAATTTATATTATAATTATGTATACATTTCTCACAATTTATAATCAAAGAGTGTAATTGAGACTCATTACTAAAAAAGTATCTTAAAGTATGATATATTCCCTATATGATAGGCGTAACTAGAGGAGATATGTATTATCACGCAACTGAAAAATAAGGGATCTTATGGAGGAGATGCCCCGTTGTCAATAGGTTTTTTTAAAAAAAGAAAATGCACACATAACTAAGAGAGTAAGAGTGTGTTTTCTTCTTCTCATTCAATTGAATCTGATTTTATTTCATTTTAATTATTTTTAGAGTTGTTTTAAGTTGTTTTTTACATGATCTCGTCAAATTTGATTTTAACAAAAAAAAAATATACTAATTACTCCACAACAAGAATTAGTTGAAGAAAATATGCAACATGATTGAATCATCAGGTGAACAAGTATTTGAGCATCAAACTAAAATATAATATCTCCTCATACTTTTCTCAACCTAATGACTCTATTAAAGTACGGAGTATAATTTTATCCGATATGGAGTAAATAAGATGAAAGAGAAAAATGCATCGTTTATCCTCAAATTCTTCAAAAATTGTAGCTTTACCCTTAAATTGTAACGTCCCAAAAATAGGCCTATCAGAATTAATTAATTGATAATTAATTAATTACTGAGATGAATCTAAAAATAAGTTATTTATAAAGTTTGTCAACTAATTTTGAACATTATAACGTTGTGTAGAGTTTGACTATCTGATCGCAACGGTACAATCGCACAAAAGGAGAAAATGAAATTTCTCGCCCTTGCTTCAATCGCTAAATCTCTCGCCGGAAAAAAACTAAATCAACAAACACGTTGTCAAGCTCGTTCGTCATGTGAGGGATCGAAATATATCTCTCTTCTTCTACGTACCCGTCATTCTCATGAAAGCACTTTCACCCGTTTTGTTTCGATACTTATGCTAGCTAGACAGTGATTTTTCTTTACTGATGATCAGCTTGCAGAGAAAAATATAATAGATAAATTAGTAAATATTTTTATAATATTAGTCTCCATATCATTCTAGTTTCTATATTTTATTGCTACTCTATATATATATTACTTTTTCGACTTTATTCTCACATATAGATTCATTATATTATTTAATAAAATTAATTAATTAATATCAAATTATATTGGTTCTCAATTCTCATAGCCAAGTAGGAGTTGGACTTCAACATTATTACTAATTTTGCACTCAGCTCCTTGCCACGCAAGGCAACCTATCTATACTATGCCCAACAGCTATTTTCCAATTCAAAGAGAGAATTGATTATTGGAATTGGGAGAGACGAATTCAGGTGGGAAATGTTGGGGGAGATGAGTGAGTGGAAGACAAAATGATACATATTAACAAACACAAACCCATTTAGATTTCATCATGTCTGTTTTTCTTCTTCTTCTTCTTTGTCTTGTGGGAAGAATTGAATATATATACTTCTCCCGTCCCTGAAAACTTTTTTGGTTTTGACTTTTGGGAAGGAAAGATATAGAATTTCCGCCAAGGCGAAATGAGGACAATTGAAACAAGTTGGGCTCGAGAAATATCAAAACGGGTAGAGTGTAGGCCGTAGAAGGTAGTTGATGTACGTTCAATTCGGTTAGATTTAAGAAAAATAAGGACAATTGTGTCCATTTAGACGAAATTGAAATATTTAAAAGAACAGATAAGAAGTGAAAGTTGAAATGTTTTAAGGGACGGAAGGAGTAATATGTTTTAATTAGTTTCTAAAGATAGATTGGTGAGAGCACTAAAAATTTTTCCTCCAATCAGATATGCGCCCCCCAGGGCTTTGTGGAATTGTATTGAAGGTGATATCTAACTATGTGTGAAATATATAATAATGATTTTTTATAGTCTAAGTGGTGCATATATGGTGTGACATCTCTACTACTTGTCCATGGCATAACTCATCATTTTGATAAACTTATACCGTTCATTTAAATGTGATCAATTGTGCATTAAATTAATTTCTCAATATTAAATAAAGACATGTTGTAAATAATTAGCAAGACTGATTAATTAAGCTAATTATTTTCATTTTTTGATCGAGTTTAAGTGAGTTCATCTAAGAGTTTAATTTTTCTTTTAAAAAAGATGCACAATCAAAAACATAAAAAGTAAAGCTACTTGTACACTACTCGGTTTACACCAAGTTGTACACCAAGCGCCGGGTTTGCACCGACACTCTGATTGCACACACTAGCATAAAATATTAGTACGATCAGAAAATATCGTACTGACGGAGTTTGGTGTCAATGTAAGCCAGTAGTGTACGTGCCGTTGCAAACTCTCAGCACATACAATTTGGTGTACACTACTTAGCACATTTATATTACGGGCCGGGGACACCAAAATGGTAACACTATTTTGATTTCAAACATTACGCAAATACGCACGGACAATAAAAGTTTGTTCCACGTACCTTTTGGTAATACTTGGGCTCAAAATGGTATCACCATTTTTGTGTTCCCCCTGGCATTTTTGACACCTAAGCACAGTTGAAAAGATAACTACAGGATAGTGTATCAAAAAAATAATGATCAATAATGATGTCAAACTTGGTGTCAAACTTAGTCTAATATATATATATATATATATATATATATTTATATAGTTCATCAAAATGTATTTTAATTTGCTATATACCAAAAATTTTATAGGCTTGATCGTGACCCTAATAACAGTACAAATGAATTGGGGAATTGATATATAATTAACTTAAGAGTTACGTTGGATAATAATTAATGTGGCATGATCATTGAATTTGTTTTGTTATTAGTTGTTGTCAAAATGTACTTTGTTTGGCATTAGGGGGGCAATAAATGTATGATGGGACTAGTGCGTGGACTCATGTACTACATATACTCTATATATCATGGCCTAATTATATACATGCAGGCATGCGGTTCATCTATAGTCCATACATCATACATGTAGTAATAATGGAGTGATTTTCAATGTTATTTTTAACCAACCAGTATTATTGTTTTGACATGTTAAAAAAGTAATAAAAAAGATATGATGTGTGCTTAACACCAGTGAAGTCATGCAAGTAATTAAGCTTAACACCAGTGAAGTCAAGTAATTAGAGGTAACACAAGTACGTACATACACAACATTCTCACAACTCTATATGTATATTTGCACTCCTCGATCTAGAGCCGGGCACTGTTTCTACCGGGGGCAAACATACTCCATCCTACTCCCAAAGAAAAGAGAAAAATGAACTAAAATGTAATGGTTCCACCTAGCTAATTAATACGAAGTACTTTCTCCGTTCCATAAAACTTTTCGAAGTTGAAAAACGGTGAGCCTTAAAAATATGTAATTTTGGTATAATGTTCTAATTATGATTCATCTATCGTCATGCATTTCATACCCTACCCTTTTATAAATTGAGGACCAAATTTGAAAATAATACCAAAATTATACTATCTAAAATAAGGGTGCACCGTACTCTTTTTCAACTTTGAAAAATTTATGAGACGGAGGAAGTATACACCAAGTACTAAAGAAGCATGTTTTATATTACTGTATATATAACACATCTCTTTACGTGTAGATCTGAAGCTCCGATCCTGATACTCTTTTTAGGAACCCGCTCAACCAAAACATTAAATTACTTGGCGTGTTCAAAAAAATATATTTAAAATTGGCAATGTAATATAATTTCATTCAAAGTTACGTTTTACACTCTAACAACCACAATACGCTTTCTGATAGCACAAAACACACGAACCATAATGGTCGTGGTTCTATATATAATAGCGCCCTCGAGCCCAGACTCCCGCGACGCTAATTAAATTAACCTTTAGCATCGTCGGGTTTTCATGAATATATATAATAGTCCTCCGCTAAATGCCTATATTCTTTTAGGGGTTTCGTGTACATATATAATCTCCCCCATATACCCACTCCCTCAAGTGAGCTCGATCCTCATTTCTAACCCTTCCAAGAAAAAATATTAAAACCCTAGCTCAACTAATCTCCCTTATTTAAACTACGGAGTATAGTATAGTAATCTCTAATCCATTATTATTTATAAATAAAATTAAATCTCCCCTCCCACATTATATTTTGGATATATAATATAGTGGATATCATTTTGCTCTTATCCCTAAAAACCCTCTCATTTTCCCCTTATATCTCTCCTAATTAATTTAATCTCTTAGCTTAATCATACATATCACAATTAACTTCGTTATCTCTACTGCTACAATACTTATCATCACTAGCTCCCAATATATATAAAAGGCCAGGCCAACATATATTTCATTTCACCATGAACTCCACGTTCTATAATCTTTTGACCTAATTAGAATCCTTATTCTTCTTCTTCTTCTTAGTTAGTTATTAACAACACATTCTAATAATTACGAGTACTTATTAATATTAGCTATATATAGAACCATGCATGAAATGGTTGGTTTCACGGACTACTACGTGAGAGAGATAGAATGCAAGAGAGTGTATGATGATCCACTATTTACCGATCAGACGAAGGACGGCGGCGGCGGCGGGGGGAGGCGGCGGGTCTACGTCCCGGGGCCGATCATCGTCGGGGCCGGACCGGCGGGGCTGGCGGCGGCGGCGTGCCTGAAGGCGAGAGGCGTGCCGAGCGTGGTGCTGGAGAGGTGCGGCTGCATCGCCTCGCTGTGGCAGCTGAGGACGTACGACCGCCTCCGCCTCCACCTCCCCCGCCGCTTCTGCGAGCTCCCCATGATGCCCTTCCCCGCCTCCTACCCGACCTACCCGCCGAAGCGGCTCTTCGTCGAGTACCTCGAGCGGTACGCGGAGCGGTTCGGGGTCCGGCCGGTCTTCAACCGGACCGTGGTGTCCGCAGAGGCGGAGGGGGGGTTGTGGAGGGTGAGGGCGGAGGCGGCGGGGGAGGAGGAGGAGTACGTGAGCCGGTGGGTGGTGGTGGCGACGGGGGAGAATGCGGAGGCGGTGGCGCCGAGGGTGGAGGGGGCGGAGGAGTTCCGGGGGGAGATGATACACACGAGTAGGTACAAGAGTGGGGAGGTGTATAGGGGGAAGAAGGTGTTGGTGGTGGGGTGTGGGAACTCAGGAATGGAAGTCTGTTTGGATCTCTCCCAATTTAATGCCTTTCCTTCTCTCGTGGTTAGAGACAAAGTGAGAATTAACACTTTCAGATATTTCTCCTCCTTTACTACTATCTTTTTCCCCTTCTTATTCCTATGACATTGGCTGACAATATTATGTAATAATTCGAGAGTATTCCGATATCTCGTTTGTAAAATTTACAGTTCCTATCTTCCTAACCCCCCGGTAAACCGCGCCCCAACCAGAACACACCCCCGCACCCCTTTAATTGTACCCCACAAGTAAATTTTGATTTTGGAGTCTAATTTTGACTTAAAGATAAAATTAAATTGTGGGGTGCAATTGAAGAGGGTATAGGGGTGTGTTCGGATCAGGGCAGGGTGGGGAGTTTGCCGAGGGGTTAGGGGTAGGAATCGTCGATTTTACTAAAATGGTACCGGAGTGTCCCCAGGTCATCCCATAACATGGGGTTCCAATGTCACGAGAAACCCATCGAAAATTTATTGTGTTGTATACGTAATATATATTCATTATTAGAATTAGTAAAAAATCTATTTGGGTTGATACCTTTATTTATTAATCAGGGGTTTAAGTGGAGAAAAAAATGATTTTATTTTTACATTCTTTTTTTTACCTCCCTAAAGTATTGAGTGTGCTAATAGCACACTCATCAACTCAATACCATCGAGTGTTTCACGAACCACCTTACATTTTATTTAACGAAAAATCATTTTTTAGTTTAATATTTTTGGAATTTAACTTTTAGATTTTTTTGTAATATTGTTTATAAAATGATTGTAGTAGTGCATGTACTCATTGTTTCTAAGGGTAGAAATTTGATGAATGAATTAGGTCCATGTCCTACCACAAGAGATGTTGGGAAAGTCAACTTTCGAGCTTGCCATGTGGTTACTCAAGTGGTTCCCCACGCGCCTTGTTGACCGCTTTCTTTTAGCCGCGTCGCGCCTCCTACTTGGAGACACGTCACGGTTCGGCCTTAACCGCCCCAAGACGGGACCGCTGGAGTTGAAGAATGTCTCTGGGAAGACCCCCGTCCTAGACATCGGCACTTTGTCCAAAATCAAAAGCGGAGACATTAAGGTATAATATTAGAGCAATGCTAGGGGTACACCAAAAGGTGTACCCCAAATGTACACCACCCCCTTCTCCACCACATATTTTTATTTGATTTTTATTTAATTATTTTTTTAAAATTTCTTTGTCTTTTTTAGTGGACAAAGAGAGGGTGGGGGACATATGGGGTACACCTTTAGTGTACCCCTAGCATTTTTCATAATATTATACTCTCTTTTTCTATTCCTCGCATTTAACTTTTAATTTCATGTTTATTACTCCGTACTTTGTACTACTTCCGTTCTTGAGTATTTGTCCAGTTTTGACTTTTTTCGATCAACTGTTTTCAACCTTTGACCTATATTTAAATAAAATATATATTTTATAGTATTAATTAGATAAAATAATGTTTTAAAAATAATTTATACAATGAATTTAATAAAACTTTTTTTGTATCAATATCAAATACGGAGTATCATTTTTATTTAATTTGAGGTCAAAATTTACCAATTTTGATCTAAAAAGTCAAAAGTGGTCAAATATTCAGGGACGGAGAGAGTATATATCATCTGGTTGTCCCTAAAAAATCCAGTTCGTGGAGAAAAATAAGAAACAACTAACTATTTTGTCAGACGGGACGACCACTACGTATGTTCAATTTTTTCATTTTCGTTGTTAGGGTGTCTCTTTGGAAACAGCCTCTCTACTTTCGAGTAGGGGTAAGGTCTGCGTACACACACCCTCCCCAGACCCGGATTTAACTGGGTTGTTGTTGTTGTTGTTGTTAGGAGTCGAAACAAGACATTAATCGGGGCATTATAATTGTTGTGTTTGTAGGTGTGTCCGGGGATAAAGAGAGTAAAGCGGCACACCGTGGAGTTTGTGAACGGTAAAGAGGAAGCTTTTGACGCTATCATCTTTGCCACTGGTTACAAAAGCAACGTCTCCTCTTGGCTTAAGGTATAACAAGAGTTAGTTGTTAGAATATTAAACCCTTTCATGTGTCTGCAATTACAACGTTTGAACTTTTGGTTGAGTTGGTTTCTTGACGTGATAGCAGAATCTCGTTGACAAAGAGGTGACAAGTTTGAAGGTTTAACTGGAACATGTAAATCTAGGATTATTGATCATGGTATATGATAATGGATGCATATATATGTGTGTGCAGGAAAAGGAGACGTTTTCGGAGAAAGAGGGGCTGCCGAGGAAGCCATTTCCGAATGGGTGGAAGGGAGAGAGCACGGGGCTATACACTGTGGGGTTTACGAAACGTGGATTACTGGGTGCTTCCATGGATGCTCAAAGTATTGCCCAAGACATATCAAAATTATATCATACATATACATGCAGTGGCCTTGGATAAGTCTTAAGTTACACTTGGGGCGGGTACTTATTTGGGGACGCGGTGCGTCAGAAACATGAAACAATGAACTCTTCCAAATTTTATGAAAGATTTGGGTGCTGGAAGATGTTCACTGATGGATATGCAAATTAAACGAGGACGTTTCGAAGATGGGAAGTAACAGTTATTTGAAGAATTCCTGCAACACAGAGACCATATATGCAAGCATGCCCCCGAGTTCACTCTTTGATTTAATATTCCCACCGTTCACATTTACTTGACTATTATCACTTTAAGTGAAACATAAAAAGTCAAATGAATATATGAATGTAAACATGATTTACATTCATATTCATTTAACTTTTATGTATCACGAAAATTATAAAAAATCAATTAAATGTGAATAAAGGGAGTACAATTTTGATGTACAAAATAAATCAAAGAAACAGAGTTGTGTTTGTAGCTCTGACGGTTTTGTGTATTAGAAGCAGCATTTCAATTACTCTATAGGGTATGTTTTATTATGCTCCATATCTTTCTTCACGTTTTTTTATAAACATTATAAAGTTTGCCCGTGAAACACAAAAAAGAAAACATTGAATTGTAGTATAAAATTATTATCAATAAGTTCATTCTGAAATGAAATTTTAAAATATCATACTACGTATTTTTACAAGATACTGAATAAAACTATATGCAAATGTAGATATTAATAGGCAAAATGTTACATTTGAAACTATGGAAAGTCAAATGAATAAAATCGTATGGAAGGGAGGGGGTGTTTACGCGAGGGAACCCCAACTTTGCACTCCATCCGTTTACCAAAATCCTTCATCTTTCATTTTTTTTCTTTTTCACCAAAACACTTTCACTTTTTATTGAAAAACCATTTTTACTCTCGCTATCACATCATACTTTTTCACTAATAATATACCCATCACATCAAGGACCGAAATTGAAAAGTCAACTATAAATAACTCTTCTTTAGTTTTGCCCAAAGTTAAAATACAGGAATTGTTTTCCTATACGGAGGGATTATTTTAAATTGTACACCATGCATATCACAAACATACACAATGGTTGTTTGTGTGTGCCTCTGATACACATGGTGTGCAACTTAAAGTACAAAGTTGGGGTGTCCCGAGTACACCTCTTTATTTATTCAATTTATCTTTTTTGAGGGAGTGGGGGGAACAAGATAAGATATTGAAAAGAAATATGGTAAAATAACAAAACACTTTTTGAATTAAACTGTTCTTTATTGATAAGATGATGTCAATATGGAGTTCAGATGGTAGTTTTGATTAAGCTCCAATATTTTTCAAACTGATACAACTCATATACTCCCTTCATGAAAGACCAGATCATGAAATCCATCAAACTAAAAGGCAAATATTCAATTACAAGCATATCATATATTGCCATATTGGCATGGTTGCTTAAGTTGGAATACCAAATTCTCCTTTAAACAGTCAAAGTCACAACTCATTCTCCAAAATCAAAGGCGGGCGTAGCATGCTCGAGTTTTCTTTTTCACCAATCTCACGCTATAATTAAGAAGAAAAAGTTTTGCACCTGAAACACGAGGAGCCAACTCTCCTCCCTTACCCCAAGAATGTTGATGGGAGGAATTAAACCATTCCTCTTGAACTGGGCATGAGAACTATATGCTCTGGGTATATAATAATCACTCCAAGGAAAAAGCTCCATTGCAATACCTGCAGTAGAACAAGCCACATAAACCTTTTTTGGATTAAAAAATGAACCAAAAAAAAAACATTTTTTAATGTGCTAATTGCCTTTTTGAATTTTTTATTGTCCTCAGATGTTTTTTATGCATATCCAGGGTATTTGCATTTTATACTCCGTACATTTTAAAAAGTAGGTCAAATTGGAAAGTAAAAACAAAAAACCAATGGAACTAGTTTTGCCATACCAAGTTATGGGGCCAAATTGCATTTAACCCATTATGATTAAGGTGCCGGTGTATATTTTGTGGCCGATTAGATTTTATTCGAATTGACGAACATCTTTAGCAACACTAACAAAAAAAGACTTGATATATAGTCACCCTTTGATAGTGTTATAAGAATTTGTAGCGATAACCTGTCACTGAATTTCTCAACAGCATCGTTGGCATAGAGAAGTGTCTCATTTGCCTTTTCAAGAACCATGTAAAGCTCCTTCCCTCGGGTTAACCTAGCAATCACCCATGCACTGTTTTTGGATCTGATGCATATTTCCCCATCTTTTTCATTGTCTGGACAGTCACACTTTGATCTGTTTCTTTCCAAATCAACCTCCTCTCGGAGCTTGGTCAATGCAATTAAAGATTCCTACATCACAGAACAAACAAAAAGAGTTCCACATATACACCATTGACTCCAAAACTCATGTAACTAAGTGATAATATGCAGAAACCTATCACATTAAGGCCCTTTGAAGTAATTTTAAGCATTTGGAATAAAACACAACCAATTGTTTTGCAAGAAAACGCAAAACTATGAAAGAGATGGCTAAGGACAACCAATTGCTCATACTTGAAGGCAAACAACATTGATTAATCTGCTTGCAGCCGAATGGAAATTATGAATTGTGGTTGTTGTTATGGCGCCATTAACATGTTTGAAAATCGTAAAGCATTTTTTATTGAGAAACTTTAGTTAATAAAAGTGTTAAACAAGTATAAGTGTATAATTTCCCTTGCTTCTTTCTACAAAGATTTGGGTAGTAAATGCAGAATCATTGCATCAAGGGTCTAACAGAAACAACCTCTCTGTTTTCATAGTCATAGGGGTAAGGTTGCAACCGCTGCATATAACTTGACCCTCACAAGTCAAGACTCCAATGGAGTTGAAACTGTAGTTTAGAAATGACTTGGTAAAATAAAAAAGCACTTCAGCTCTAAAGGGTTTGAACTTTGAATTTGTGTCACTGTGACTCAAATACAAAACAAGCGCAAGTAATTCTGAACTTACGCATCAAACAGCTAGAACAATGTAGCTCAAAATCGTGTCCAAAATACAACACATACTGTTTAAAACAAGCAATAATTGTGTTTGAAGCGCATAGGAAACATGCGGATAATAATGCTTACCTTAGTCAGAGTTGTTACTTTTCCCGGTGGGGAAGCTCTAGAGATATATCTATCACTGTCCACCAGCAAATAACGATACCCGCTAACATGGTATGCATTCTCACCACCCCATCCTCTTGATAGTTTCTCCTCAACTTTATTTACCTTAAGTGATGCCTAAAAATGAAAGATAGTCTATAATTATCTTAGTCTAACATACAATGATGCATTGGGGAAGCAAAAAAGGAATGCAAATTGAGAACATCTCAAGATAAATTAATTAAAAAAATTAGAAATTAAAGATTTAACATGTTCAAACTAAAGACTACAATTCGTTGTACTAAATATATTCATCAAAAAAGGGAATTAATATATGCTAGGATGGGTGGGAAGGGAAATATAATAGGGAAAACTAAGAGAAGCATGTTTTTTTAGTACTATTAACTCTATTACAATGTACTAGAGGTCCATACATATTTTCTCAACCTACTGAAGCGCAAAGAGCCAATGCCCTTATTGGGGTTCAAACCTATGACAGTATGACCTCCTATTTGGGAGAGCCATGGCGCTCGACCACAATGTCTAGGGCAGGAACTAACATATTGCATTTTTCAAAGAAAACTCTGGCATTAAGACAACTTGGTCATCAGAGTTTCTCTAAACTTTGGGCTTTGGTTCACTTCCAACTTGGTCCAAGATTTTGTCTTAATAGTGTAGTTATGTCTTAGGTATTCTTGAAGAAGCTAGCATATTCTAGGCGCAGGATAGGGTAGTAATGTTTCAATATAGACGCATATCGGAGAGTCATTGAATAGTTGAACTACCTTACGAACAGGTATATAGATTTCTTCATAATTACGAATCATCAGGTATTTGAAAACTCTGTGACCATAATTGAGAAAATCTGGAAAATGTTCATCAAATCTTGAGATTCATTAAATATCAGAATATGGTCCAAGACAAAAGCGTTATAGAGACCATAAGCATTGACATTTATTTTATCAGGAAAAAAAAGAATATGCCTATTTGCATTTCCAAAAGCTATGCAAACTCTATGGATAAACTGCCACATAAACTGGATCATTAAAAAAGGAAACATCTTTTAAGTTCAGCATAGCATTTATATGATCTTTCAGAACACAATCCGATCCCTGATTAAATTAGATTAAAATAGACAAAGGTACATATGTAGGCAAAACATCCTACTATACTACATAAAATGAGACACAATTATGTGCATAAATCGGTTGTGTGCATGTCCTGACTAATCTTCAATCTACTGTGTGGTGCAGAGAATGACAGTAAGTCTAAATATATCAATGTAATCAACGTGATACACACGCATACATTGAAAATGTTGCAAAGCCAAAGGCATGATACACTAGTAGCTTACTTGTTCTAGGACTTGCTGCTTCACCATGGATATCCCTTGCTCCCCACTGAGCACAGATGCAAGAGGAATGAGAAGCACAACAGTCAGGCTCTTGTGCTGATAAGCACAAAGATACATTCTTTCCCCGGTCTGCTTAAGCCAGACAGTTGGTGTGGAAAAATCTGAGCTACCAACGTCTGATCCCCAAAGATCAGTAACGAGAAAACCATCTTTCCCCTTCGACCATTTGTCTAGCTGTAATGGCCTCACAACATGATAACTGCGTTGAGATCTATCATGTGAGGCATTATGCTGATCGGGTATAGAAGTAGAGCTTCCCAACAAAGAACCTGCAGATACATTAGATGAAGTATTTCCTCTACGTAAATAAGACCAAGAGCTCAAGCCAGAAGACAAAGCATGAGGAGTCAGCCTCATGACTGCGTAGGTAAATACATTTACTAAGTCATCCTGCACAAGAGAAATGGATAAAGGGAGATCAGTAAAAAGTAGTATACCCCTTCTCATGCATGGATAATTTATTGTGTGTGGTGTGGATATATTTCTAAGTAATTACTATAACCGTCCCTAAATAAGACTCTACATTGGACCTGGTATGACTATTAAGAAAGGTGAAATTGAGTGGTTGAATTAATGCAAAGAAGCGATAAATAGTATCAACCTCTCAATTCTTTCCTTAAAAAGAAAGTGGACTTATTTAGGGAGGAGATGTGGAACCTTTTTTCGGACAGATGGAGTATTTCTTAATTACAAATAGCCATCTGGCTCATCTTCAGATACTAAAGGCACTAAACCTGGGGTACAAACTACAAACTGTTGTTGAAGTGCATGCTAGTAAGTAGATTGTAGAGAGAGAGAGAGAGAGAAGAAGAAGAAGAAACCGTACATTAGAAAGTGTTGTTGACACCAGCAGGTTCTGGTACATGATCATCGAATAGCAATGTGTGTTCTCAGCACAAGATTCCAACACCCTAACCAGTGACTGCCATATCCATTCATGGCAGCAGTGATTAAAACATTGATACGACAAAAAACAAAAATTATGAGTGGGATTTAAAAAGTTTCTCTCTTGAACAACAGATCTATTTTTTATTGATACAACTCACCTGCATAATTCGATCCCCTATATATCTTATTAGTAACGGAGTATTAGTTATTACCAATGAAAGCATGTAATATTATTGCACTTGAAACAGTTGAAAGCATCAAACAAATAAAGAAGAACAAACCTGAATTTCAAGAGCTGCCTCCCTACCAATAGTCAACATTTGTACCGTTCCACGCTCCTTTAGGGAGTCACGAAAATTTGGCAACTGAAGCTTCTTGCCAACAAGAAAATCTGCCTCAATGAGAAAAGAACATGTAAGATGCATGTGCTACATTTTACAATTCCTCCCAATTCGCAATTGCGAACATTTAATCCAGAATTCCAGATACTGAAGTATTACCACAGCAGCAAAAATCCAATATAGCACATTTTTGAAAAGCTAACACTAGGTGACTAAGAAATGAAATAATCCAAACTACAAAATCTTAACAGAACACATGAAATTTTTTATGCAAAGTATGATGCTAACCATTTAGATAATCCATTTGGAAATAATACAAGTGGGTTCTGATAAGTTCGCCGCTTGGTTCTTTATCCAGCAATGCTCTTACAGACCCATGAAACATCACAAAGAGTGTGTGAACTTCCTTAAGAACCTTCCGTATTCCATCAATCCGCCAAATAGTTTCTGATTCCCTACTTTTCTCAACCACCTAAGCAACATGGTATGGTTAAAAAAACATAAACAAAACAGTGCACAATAAATTATGCAATAATGCCTTCTACTGGTAAATGAATTACTGAATTCATTATAGGTGCATTTTACGCCAACTAAAACCTGGCATGCGATACTTCAATAGCATAAACTGCCAGAGCAGGTTAAGATTTTAGCAATGTGTAGCAAGAAGAGTTTTAATTGGGATAAATATGTGAGTGAGTGTAGTAGTATAACTTAGACTGCTGTTTGTTTTTTTAAATGTATTGTATATCAAGGCTTGTAAGCTTATCATGTTTATTTATCCACTGAGTTCAAATAAATGATGTGTAAAAAAGCCAACTAAATAATAAATTACTTCTCTCTCCCTCTCTCTCTCACTGTGGGGGCCTGGGGGGGGTATCACACATAAAGATGAAGAAATATTATATAACCAGCATGAAATGGCATATAAAACAACATTTGTTTAAATTCAATATGTTTAGTATTGGCACACACACACACACACAAAAAGAGTGATAAGGTAAAAAAATGAGTAAAATATGTCCAAAGGATTCTGTGTATTGATGATAAAGCAGACAAAGAAAACATCCAATTATGAAAATAATCCTCCACAGTTGGCATGCAGCAGAAGAATAAGGCCGTTTTACCATAACCATCCAGATATCTGGCTCGGCCTCATAAAATACATGAGCGTGCATCTCGGCTTCTATAGTCTCACAAGGCATCTCTGGAGAGAAAATTCTGCAGAAGACTAGTATTACGATTCTAAATCCATGAGGCTAAAGAAGATTCAAAATAAAGAAAAAAGAGAACAAAAAATCGGCAGCGTTGTATTGACCAAACCATCAGCTAATTTATCATCAATTGAGCACAAGCAAAATGATCATAGTTATCAAGGCATCGCGTAGGCAGCTTAACTTTTTATTTTAGTGTAAAAGTTATACATAAAATTTATAATTTTATATATTTAAAAATTATATCAAAAGTTCTATTAAACAAGAGGAAGCTTAACTTTTTATTTTAACAAAAGATTTAAAAAAATAGGTAAGGGAAGAAGATATAGTTTGAAGCTCTAAACATTTTTTTGAGGGACGGAGTGGGTATATAATTCCTTGCTTTATTTCATAAGACATTGATAAGGTTGAGTTTATAAGTTTCTGTTAAGGAGTAAATGAGTAAACCAAGGAATCATAAACACGTATTGGTTTCGCAAAATAATTCCTAACCTTGCTGAGTTATGCATACGAAAATTGAAATGTTCTGAAATTGCCACTTCACCACCCTAACCTGAATCCTTCTAAACTATCCAATATGACAAACTGGGTGGATTCCTAGGACCAAACCATTTATTTTCTTTATATCTTTTTTCATTCAGTATGAATGCCTATACCTCCAAATGCCCTAACACGTCTTTCTAATGACAAGCTGTATGAAATATGGCTTTTATAAGAGCAACAACAACAATTATAAACTTCAATTAACACATATCCTTAATCAAGCTATTGACCAAATCACATGTCATCCTTTAATAGATTAGTACATTAGTACATTAGTATATAACTGGCCATGGTGACTGTTGGCATTAGGAATCAAATAAAGAATAAGAAATGCAGCAAATAATCATTACAGAAGAAATGAACTACGTAACCAAGACATTGACGTTCACTAGGAACAAACCTTGTAAATGTGATGATACCTTCACTTAAGCCAATAACAGAGAGCTGGGTGGAGAAAGGAACATCAGCAGGAAAGAAGAATAAAATTTTGTCAAGCTCCTGCCCTTCATGTTGTCCCCTTCTCAAATCAAACATACATAACTTCATCGCTTCACTAGCAGTACTTACAGCTGACATTCCCATGCTTAAAAAACTTCAATTCATTGACCTAGAAATAAATACCTATTAATAAAAGGATTAGGAGAAGCAGCATAGCTTATCTTAGATTATAAATACTAGGTATCACATCAAGCCCCATACATGTCAAACAACATTTCATCTATATGTAGTTTGTGTGCCTATGGAGACAAGTCAGACAACAATGTGTAAGATTAATGTGATAGGAAAAACAATAAATTGAAGAAACTAGTGAAATTAGTAAAAGCTATGAATTCAAGAAACATGAATCGTATCTCTGATTATAGACATATATATAGCAATTGTGCATCACGGACTTGTATCTAGGGTAGGCAAAAAACTCTTAGGGTCGTTTGCAAAGGCAGAAAAATGTTTTTTTTAGAAAACAATTTCTAGAAACTGTTTTCTAGCAAACCTTTTAATTTCTGGGTCTTTGGCGGAATGTTGTAAAACTTTTTTTCTGCTTGGTTTATTTTCTGGAAAATGAAAATTTCAATCTTGCAAAAAAGGTATTTCCAATAAAATACTCCGTAAAAATTAATTTAACAGTAGTATAGCTATGGTTGACCCGTTCAACAACATCAGAGCACATAAAATCAATATTTATAAAAATCAACACACATATCATGTTGCAATAATAAAATCGCATGAAGATTAGCTAATTTTGAACTGCTTCTAATGATCTGCTGTTATCATCATTCAAGAAAAAGTAGGCATATGATCTGCTGCTTAAAATTTCTATGGGGAACACACTTTAGGGATTTTGCAAAACACAACAAAACTTAGCAATGCCAAAGGCTGTACATCTAACTAAAAATTGCTAATGAAATGCCAAAGGCTATACTTTTAAACCTAATAGTAACACCGATTGATCTAAATACACCTAAAAATAACAAAAATAAAATAAACCCAAAGTTCAAAAATTACGCTCAGGAGTAGATCGCATGCTGCTTCGTCTTCAGTGTTCGACCTTCATCCTTCAGCGCAAGGAGGAAATCGCAGTCTCAGACGCTTCTTCGCGCGCAGGAAAAGATTGTCTCCTCCGCCTCCAGCTTTTCGTCGCGCGGAGCAAAACAAGGAAGGAGTTTTGCTTTTTTCACTTTTCAGTTTACACCAAGCCGGTAATTCGGTAAAGTTGGCAGTTTTTTACTCCATGTGATTTCAATCTCACCCTTTGCTATATTTGGACAGTTAGCGTTTTGAAAAAATATTAATGTTGTAGATTAATTGAAATAAAATACTCCCTCTGTCCATCATAGATCTTTCCAGACACTATTCACAGGATCAAACTTTACTCACTTTGTTTGCTCATTTTTACTAATCATTTCGTAAACTAATATAATCTTGTCACCTCTAGTTTTGGAGAACTTTTCATGTAGTTTATTACTATATAAATTTTATTTAAAAATTTTACTCTTATAATTAATTAAATTGAATTGAAAAATAAAGTCAGTCAAGCCCCGTAACGCGTAATGGGAAGATCTTTGGTAGACGGAGGGAGTAATATAATTTTGTCACCTCTTATTTTATACTCCTGTAAAACATTTGGTGTAGATGTTTTATATATAAATTTTATTTTTTAATTATACTCAACTCTTAAATAAGTTAAAATAACTTATGTCAAACTGATATGTAATGAAGTAGGCGATTTAAATTAGGACAAGAAATAAAAAATATCTTTGTTGTTATATTAATATTATTATTCCTTATCATCATCATCATTAGTATTATTATAATTATACTATTGTCTTTGTTGTTGTTAGAGCTGGCAAATCGGCCAGTAGGTTGAGTTCGAGTTCAGTCACTTTGGGTTTGAGTTACTTCAGGTTTGGGTCAATTTGGGTTATGGTTGATAACTATATGTTAATGACCCAGTGTCATCGGGTCAACCCAACGGGTTATGACTCCGGTTTTTGAAATTTTAAATTCATATTAACACTTTCATTTTACATTAAATAAATTTAAAATATCAAAAATACGTATTAAATCTGTTAGGTATATAAATCAATATATAGAATTAAAAATGCATAAATTTTTGAAAAATAAGATAATTATGTAATATCATTAAAAAAATTGTGAACATGTAAATTTATACACTAAAAATGAGTAGTAAGAAAAAATATAACTATAACCTTATTTTTGTAACATTATATTTCATAGTAAAATATATGAATTTGAAAAACTCTTCCATTAGCAGGTCGGTCAGGTCAATTCATGTTCATTCGGGTTTGACCCACTTTTAGCGAGTCATTTCAGGTTCGGTCAACTTCGGATTCGGTTAACAAAATTTTTGTTAAAAAATCCAATTTTTTCAGATCAGATTTCGGGTCAAAAATAGATCAGGTCATTTTTTATTAAGTCTAGTTGTTGTTGTTATTCTTATTTTGTTACTCCCTTCGCCCCCCTAAGATGTTAAGATGTTCTCATTTTGATTTTTGGTGGTTTTCAAGGGGAGTTGAAAAAAAGTGAAATTTTACCATAATACCCTTAATGAAAATGGGTGGAGTGTGTTAAATGAGGTGAGTGATGTGTAATAAATAAAGTAAGTGGGGGTAGTTGTGGTATTTTAATTCTTAAAAAATGAAATAAGATCTATTGTGGACATAGAAAAGGGGCTATTGGAAAGATCTATGGGGGCGGAGGGAGTAGAATATAAAGTAACAACAACAATGATGATGATGATGAGAATAATATTAATTCGGATCTAAACTCTCCACGAGGTTTAAGAGGAATTTACCTAAATAGTACTAAAACATAATGACTTTCTCAATATAGGACCATATGTTTTTATTTTCCAATGTAGGATCATTAGTCATTATCCATTAATCATTATTCAAGTAAATTTTCACCATCATTGGACATTCATCCTCCCACTAGACATTATTAATTTCTAATTAAGGAATAAAAAATTTAAGTTCGATATTGAAAAATAATTTACGTTTTAGTTATATTTAGTGCAAATTTCACTTAATATAAAAGCCCGAATTCAGCACAAAATATGCAGGCTCATGTTTATGAAGTCCAAGCCTCTATTTATAAATTTGCCAATTTCTTGAGATTAGTTTTTATTATTATTTTGTTACAGGGTTCACATTTTCGCATAGCATACACGTAGTTTGCATAAATCACGTTTTTTGTAAAAGATTAATTAAGGACTTGTTCTCTTCAATGTATCTGATTAATTCTGTTCTGATTTGATGATGTTATTGTAATTATATTTAAATTTATTTTTGATCTGATCTAATTCAAATAAAAAAATAATACTCATTTCGTTCTGAAATAGATATCACTTTCATTATTACGGTCTCTTGATAACTCTTGTTTGTTTGTATATTTTCTTTGCTAATTTCATAAAATAAAATATTCTTTTCACATCTGTCTTATAAACTTTTTAATTTATTTTTAAACAGTATAATTTATAAAAAAATTTATTTCTATCCTAATTTGTATAGTAATTAAAATAATTTTAAAAATAATACTCCCTCCGTCCCTGAGTGTTTGTCCACTTTTATTTTTGCACACCATCCAATGCACTTCTTTAATTTATTTTATCTTGTAATTTGTATATTAAAAAATTATAAAAATTATATATTAATAATCTATATGTTAAGACGAATCAAACAAGATCACACATGACTACTTTTAGGCTTACATATTGAGAAAATTTGATAAGTCAAAGTGCTTAGATGAACAATTCCAAAAGTCAAAAGTGAACAAACACTCAGGGACGGACCAAGTAAGATTTTAGATATTCTCAAAGTGTGAAATCCAATATGAGATGCAAAACAATAAAAAGCTTTAATTATGAAATACGGAGTAAATTTCGTTCACAAGAGATTATTCACAGCACTTACGCAGTAACTTTGTTTTTTTAACCAAGTGGAGTAAGATGAAAGCGAACGACGACGTAACAACTACCTCGAGAAATGTGACCGTTAAACCATGTGGATTCAAAATCAGCTGCGTTACCGGACAGCTCACGTCGGCGCGTACGTATCCGCCTCCCTCTCCCTCACGCCGATTGTCTTCATCTCTCTATTTCTCTCTCTAAGAATTTCCAGGTTGAAATTTAAGCCCTAAAAGACAGTAAAAAAGAGTAAAGGCAAAAGAAAGAAAGAAAGAAAGAAAGGAATTATGGGGTGCGCCCAATCGAGTCTGGACAACGAAGAATCGGTGGCGAGATGCAAGGACCGGAGGAATCTGATGAGGCAAGCCGTTCAGGTGAGGAACGCCTTCGCCTCCGCTCACGCCGCCTACGCCTTGGCTCTCAAGAACACCGGCGCCGCCTTGAGCGACTACGCGCAGGGCGAGGTTCCGCCTCCCGCTCAGGACGTCGCCGTCGCCGAGCCGGTTCCCAAGCCGCCTCCCCCCATTCCGCCGCATATGATGGAGAGGAGCCCCCTCACTCCCCTCCCCCCTCCTCCCCCGCCATTGCCCAGCTTCTCCCCCGTCACGCCCCTGCAGCGGTCCATCACGATGCCGGAGCTTTCTAAAAGGATAGAGAAGGTAAAGACCGTCCCGATTGGAGTGGAAGAGGAGGAAGACCACGAGATTCGAATCAGCAGATTGAAGCTGAGGAATCGCCACAATAGGGCGGAGAAATCTGGTAGAGATGGAGAGGCGACTCCGGATAAGATTCCAGATTTGCCCCCTCCTCAGCCTCTCGGTGAAGCTTGGGATTACTTTTATATGACTGATAATATGCCTGCAACAACCCTAGGAGGCGTGGAGGAAGAAGAGTACGGAATCGACAGCCCGATAAGCCCCATAACTGAGAATCTCGGCAGAGATGAAGACATTGAAGAGTTCAAGACCCCAGAGAAAGGAGTAATGGGTAGTGATGAAATGGGGGAGACGCCGCCGCCTATGATGGCTATGGAGAAACACTTCGTTCATTCTAAGACGGCTCCTCCAGGGATCATCGGATTGATCAATAGCAGGAAAATTGAGAGTGGAAACAGTACAGATTTCTATAAGGTTTTCAGTGTGATAGATGACCATTTCCTCAAGGCTTCAGAGTGTGTTCAAGAGGTTTCAAAGTTGCTTGAGGCTACTAGGCTTCATTATCACTCCAATTTCGCAGACAGGGGTAATTCGACCATGTTAATTCTTGATTCTCTTTGGGAAATCATTTTGCACAATGCCATTTTCAAAAGCATCCGATACGATTACTCATATTTGTGAATGAGCTTGTTTTACTTACCGGCCTTATGGAAACCATTTCGTTGATTAAAGAGATGTTTTCATTTGGACATGAATGCAGGAACTATTGATCACGCTACGAGGGTTATGCAAATCATCACATGGAACAAGCCTGTTAGCGCCGTGTCAAAAGGCGACAGTGCTATTGAGAGGTATGATGGTGGTGACTCTGAGACTCATGCCACTGTTTTGGATAAGTTGATGGCTTGGGAGAAGAAACTATATGAGGAACTTAAGGTGGATTGCACAACTTTTTATTAGCCTTTCTGAAATTGCCTTTCCCCTAGCCGAGTTTCTTCTTTTTTAAATGGATGTTTATACATTTTTCTAACATACAATATGAACATGACACAGAATGCCTTATACGTGAAAGCAAACTAGATAGTACATTAGTGCTTCTTCCAGCGTTTATAAACAGTTCTGTTTCAAATGTTTTTTTTGTCAAAATGATGAAATGAAAATGTCACTCCGAACTCCGTTGTAATGTGTATAAGAAACATACATTTGCCAACTGTTGATTGATCCGTGTTGATAGGCAGGTGAACTTATTAAGCATGAATACCAAAGGAAAGTTGGAGTTCTAAACAAGTTGAAAAAGCGCAGTGCTGGTTCGGAATCACTGGAGAAGGCGAAAGCTGCTGTTAGCCATTTGTATACACGTTTTATAGTTGAAATGCAATCTTTGGATTCAACGGTCGTGGAAGTGAATGAAATTCGTGACAAGCAGTTGTACCCAAAGCTTGCCGAACTTGTTCTTGGGTACGTTTATGTACAACATGCCCTACTTACCGAGTTCATGTGTGAAGTCGCTAGTAATTTATTTATTTATAAAAAAACTCAAACTTGTTAGAGTATCAGTCAGATTTTGGAAATATCAAACTCGTCTACTGT